CACATATCCATCGCGGCTATACACATAGGAACAGAGGCAACCCTATACCCAACGTGGCAAGCCCCATTTGCGCCAAAAAGGTAACCTCTAACTAGCTAGAAAAGGTCCTATTACTGAGCTAAAGTCAGAGCCATATGACTCTCCCGGTTGCACTGTCAGTCCCAGCTTTTGCCGACAGATAAGTCCTTATGGAGGGCTGGGAGCAACATGAACAAAGGTCATTTGCACTTTCGCCCTATGGAACAGTTGTTATAAATCATGTTACTCACTTTGTTCCATAGTATCATTCATCAACAGGTATATCAAGTTCAGTTAGAGCACTAGCAATCTACCCATATGCATTTAACCCATAGGAGACAAGGAACAGGATAAACAATCACTAGGATGTCCTTACGGGTATCAAAATTAGACACATGCAAATGAGTAATTGATTAAAGTGAAATAGGACATCAAGGAAGGCCCATGTTATACTTTCCTTGGTTCACAAACTCGTGCTGGTCCTGCTGGTCGTCGAAGAGTTCTTGGTCTCCAACGTTTTCCTCACCGTCTGAACGCGACCAACACGACAACATACAACATTCCAAAAGCATTCATGCAAAGCAAACATTCCTATAATTAGAACAGTACACCAACAGTATTGAAAACAAGATAAAATATTTGTGAAAAGAATCTACGTCTTGCTACAATCACGTCAACGCGAAGTTCACGAAATTCGGAGCTAAAACGCGAAAGTTATGATTAAAACGGGATTTCCTATAGCAATATATTTAATTAAATCTAACCATGAAATTAAAAAGTTCCAAACTTGACTAACAGTGGTTCTAACATGTATATTATGGAATTACGAAGCTAACGCGATTTGAACGGATCAATTCGGAGCTAAAACAAAATTTTTATGACCAAAACAAATCTAGTGGCATTTCTGTAATTACTGAAAATGTATTTTGGACTAACACAGTATACTTTACGTTTTCAAAACGAGAATGCGTAATCGGGGAAATACGCTAAGGACGGCGGGTTCAAATAGGTGAATCCAGGAGGGCTCTTTAGCAAATCTACCCGCGAAGGGGTATCGGCCACTGAGAGCCGTTGGATCAAGATCGGGCGGACACGGATTAGATCTGGGGAGGGAGAAGGAAGGGGTGGCCGGCCGGAACAGAAGCTTCCACGGCGGGGCACCATTGCCGACGACGAGGAGCTCGCCGGCGCGCGGGAAACTCAGCCCACGGGCCACGGTGTGCCCAACCGAGGCCACGGGGATGATGCAGGGAAGATGGCGAGTCCACCCCGGGACAAAACACAGCCGGGGGATGGCTCGCGCGGCGCCCGCCATGACCGGCAGCGAGGAGGAGCTCGCCGGCGCACTTGACACGGCCATACAGGCCACAAAATGCCAAGGGAAAAGGTCGGGGAGAGATAGGAGAGCGAGGGGGTTCTCACCGCGGGGAAAAGCGAGGACGGGGAAGGCTCGGGGACGGCGGTCCGTGCGGAGGTGAGGACGGCGGATCGGCGGAGCTCTTCCGTGCGGCGGTTGTGGGGCTTCCGAGGCGTGAACGCGAGAGAAAACGGCGCGGGGGAGCAGCAGGGGCGTGCGGGGGGGCTCGGCTCCTATTTATCGAGGCCAAGGAGCGGGGACGCCCCACGACCCCGGGCGTGGCGGTTGATTCTTTCGACGCCTTGGCGGGCTGGCGGTTGCCGAGCTGCTGGAAGGGACGGCGCCGACAGTGGGGGGGGCGGCCGGCTGGGAAGAAGAAGGAGGGATGGCAGTTCTATGCTAAGGCCGTTCAATTTGGGCTGGGCAGCAGTCTTTGGGCCGAACAAGGGAGGCGAGGAGGCGAAATGGGTCAACAGGCTAGTCTTTGGGGTTGCGGTGTTGGGTTGCGGTCTTTGGGCGGGTCAGGGAAAGGAGAGAGGGCCAGCGGGCCAAAATTCAAGAAGGAAGAGGAATAAAAGTGATTCTTCTTTTTTTTTCTACAATTTTCCAAATCCCTTTTTAAATTCAATTTTCAATTCTTTTCGAAATATTTATTAAATTCCTAACATTCACAAAATGATATGCAGCAGCATGTATGCATCAAAAAGTTTCTAACCTTATATTTGATTTTAATTTCATAAAAATATTATTTCCTAAATTTAAATTCCCACAAAATGCAAAATTAATCACTTTTCTCCTTTTCAAAAATATGCAAAAATTTAGGGTGTTACAAACACTGTTCGTGGCATGACCTTTGGTAGTTCTGTCAGTGCAAGGCACTGTTCTAACATGCCCTTCCATTTATCTTCAGCAAGTTCTTTTATCTTTTCGCATGCATCATTCATTGTTGTTCCATGCTCCTTCATGTAGCAATGGACAGTGGAGGCACTGTGGTCTTTTGTTTGTTCACGCTGTGAAACATTGTCGTAAGAAAGAATAATGTCAGGTGTGTTATAATAACAACTAGTTTAATCATCCTAACGTTGTGATTCTGTACTGACATAAAGCAATATCCAGCTTCACTGTAAATGTAAAATTATCGTGAATGTTATGAATAGAATCTAACCAATTCGTTAGATAAATGGATACTGAGAAGAATTCAATTTACTGTTTTTGCATGAAGCTATAATCGTTTAGAAATAGAGAAATACCATGGTAGATGCGACATCATTTGAGAGGCGTACATATATAGCAAAAGACATTAGAAATTGAGGAAAGCTCAAAAGCCACTCGAGTGTCTCCTTTGTTATTATGTCACCCATTACAACAAATGCGGCACATGTAATAGGGATGCATGCAATGCTTTCCATTGAAACTTGAAGGTGTTCACTCATTGTTTTTGGCACATAGTCTTCATCACGCCATTTTATTTCATTGTAGTACTGCTGAACCAAACGCTCCATCTATATGAAATATGGAAATGTGCGAAAATTATTTCTGATTCTAATACCATTGCTGCTAGATAAAATAGGCTGCTTGAAATAAAAATAACTGAATTGAAATAATGATAGGTTGCATTGCATAAGTTCCATTGTTCAGGTAAAAACTTTATTGATTTTCATGTTTATGTGCAATACAGTTCCCAAGAAAAAATTTACTAGAAAATAAAGGCATTTCGTACATAGTCAACACCACATGTATCCATCTAGTCCCTGAATTAATTTATGACCAATCAAAATATCATGCATAATTAAAGAACTCGATTTTTAATATTAGGCAAACAAATTTATCTACGGATTTTGCTTCAATTATGACTGCAATGACCAAGTCTGTTTGCCGGCCGGCTCATGCATGCGCTGCTTTTAATGGTCATAGGAACTAGAAGAGCGTATAGTAGGGTTAGTTCTTTATAATTCTTAGATAATGATAGTCATCAAACCTAGGCTCGAAGTTCATTATCTATTATTAAATTTCTTTGTACAATAGGCTTTTTTTCATGTCAGTAACATAACTCAATTTGATAGAGCCTAGTATTTCTAGCTGATTGCGTTGACTGTGTTCCTTGGCAATGCTCAAGTATAAGACATTCATAAGAGGGTATGTAGAATACTCACCGCCAGTTTTAGATAAAGCACACGGTAACTCTTCTCTGCCCCTAACTCATCCTCAAATGAATGAAATGTCTCCAACAGAAATAAGTAGAAACCCTTCATATACTCTGGAAGAAGAGGTACTGCACTTACACATCCCATCTGCATTTTACAAAGTTAGGATTTGGTTTCTTATAGTATTAAAGCTCTCTAGAGAGAAGCGTTTCAAAAAGCACTGAATGTATTTTTCGAAATTTATTTTTAGGATCATTACATTGCATACTAATGGTATCATTATTTCAATTCAAATATTATTATATTACTGATAAATTATTTGTGGTTTTCCTTTGAACGGGTATTACTATTTGAAAAATAGTGAATTTTTATATTGTTGCTTGTATATGTTTGGTGTACAAATTATTGTTTGAATTTCGTTGCTTATTAGTAATGAAACTCAGTACATCAGCACCAAAAGGGCTTCATGTCGTGGACATATCTCCACGTAATATCATCCCTTTATGACAGACTCACAGGGAAAATTTTAATTTCTTTCTTTTTGTATATGTGTATGTAAATCAATGACATGCCATCCAATATGTATTTAATAGTTAATGCATGTAATATTTTTAAAATAAAAAACATGTGACATGATTTTGGAAGATCATTGTTACCTGCCAATTGCTTCAACAAATTTCATGCACTCTTCGGTGGTACCATATGTGTCAAACATATCATCAATTATTGTAATAAAAGATGTGATCTTTGTTTGTATAATTCGGGAACGAGAGTATGGAGGATGATAGCATGCCCCATTCATCCAGAAATATGTCTCCACTATTCTATCTCTAACAAAAGTCATCTTTGATTTGGCTAGGAACTCCTTCCACCACCTACCATGCATGTTAAGATAAGTCAAGTAAATCCTAGGACTGAAACTGCACGTCGAGTCGAAGTAAGATGAAAATAATCTTACACTGTGCAATGCTTTAACTCTTCACAGAAAACAAGCTGTTGAAGGTTAAAATTCAGTTCTGCAAGCTCCAATATGGCTTCATTCATTGTAGCGTCTTTTTCATAAATGGGTATGTAATTTATTGCTTCTAATATTCCAACCCTTCTAAAAAGTGGGGTATGAAGCGAAGCGGACACCTCCTTTGCAAATGGCGATTCTGATAGTTCAAGGATATCTTGAAGGCAACGTCTTGTGAAAGAAATTGCTTCATCCAGTACCTTCTCTCCATGTCTCCTCAAATATGCTGCATTATACATGCTTAACAAGCTTCTCGTGTCAGCATAAGCAAAGCCCCCTTCTTCTGTTTTAAAGTGTAGAAATACATCTGCAAAATTGCCTCAAAGTGAATAATAGTCATGTCCTATTTTTCACAGTTAAAACATTTGATGTGACATTAATTGGTCCTCACTCCAATGATGATGGGGGATTACCATGGAACTCTAGAAGAAAAAAACACAGTTTTGAGTGCAAGATCATATCTTACCTGATGACACATAGTAACCATTCTTTCGAAGAAGATAAAACCGCAGGGAAACTAAGTTTAGATCTTTATCATTGTAATCGGAGTTGTAAATACCATGCAGCAACTTGTCTATCTCATTCTCGTAGTAGTAATCCAGTCCAAGTCGTTGCAATGTGAGTATAAGATTCAGTGTTTCTGGTAATTCAGTTGAGCCCATCAAAATCTTCCTAACATCTTCTCTTAATACCTCAGCTCGTTCTTCCATGTATGCTTGCTGCGTGGAGGACAAGTTTAGGTCAATTTCACCAACCCACATCTATATATATGTATGTCAAAAAAGTTTATCCCCTGATGATGATCCTCAGCGAGAAGCAGTTGTTAATTACCTGAGGTGCAGTTGGCGGCTGGTAAGTGAGGAAGAAATCGCCCCATAGGCTTGGGTCGAAGGTAGTAGCCTTTCGCAGCTCCTCTGCCTCGCTGGAATGTTGTGCTGGAGGAGGCGCCATGCTCTCAAACAATTTGATCTACAGCCTAGCCAGTTAAGATTTCTGAGAGATTTGTTGATGCCTATATGTGTGGCATTACAGGGCTATTTATACGCGATGCAGGCATGCGCCGACAAGAAGTTACTACACCAGCCAGGAAGCAAATTTAGTTCAACCAATTTGTGCAATGCTGACTTTGTGACGATGAAAGCGGGTTCTCATATCTTTCTTTCTTTTTTGAGAGGAGGAAAGCAGGTTTTCTGCTTCTGCATACACACGTGGCACTGTTTTCAGACTCTGTGCTTTGTACTCCGTACGTACAAGCAGGTTTGATCCCATCTAACTGACAAATGAAGCAGAAAACAAATGAACCAGCCGGCTACGTGCACGGCAGACAGGAGACAGGACTCATACTTTATGCATGCGAAGCTACTTGCAATGAAGAAAATTGAAGTTAACGCAACTGGCCAATAATATAAAAAAATACCTTGATCCACGAAAAAAGGATATTTTGTCGTCTCTAGGAAGAAGAATAGATGTGTATAGTTCCAGTTGCACAAATGACAGATCTGTGAACGAAAGAGACAAAATGTTGGATTTATTTAATCAATTTTTGAAATGATTTCATATTCAAACTATCTTTTAGGGAAACAATGTTAATTTCGATTGCCCGATTCAATTTTTGACTTGGTTCTACCCAGAGACGACCAATAATGTGCCTGAAGCCAGGAGCAATCCAGGCTTATCCTTGGATCTTGATCTAGATTGAGAGTTTGAGACCGACATCGTTGTTGTGTTCTTAAATGTTTTGGCATTCCGTTCTTTCCATAGTTGCCAAGTTACCAGAGCCACCGTGGTGTTGAACCCTTTGCATTTGGTTGTGGGCAATTGCAGTGAAAGACCGAAAACAGAGACCAGAGGGGTTGGTGAATGGGAGCCTCAAATTTCTTTCGAAACTTTCAACTATTGTCCCAAAATCACCGCCACACACAAGATGCAACAACCGTGATGTGCACAAGCCAAACAAGTGGCTGGATGTTGCCTAGAAACACAACGGGACACGACAACGAAAGCGGAACGAGAAACAGAACTCAAACGCACAGGACACGGATGGAGCAGAACTACACAGGGTGAGACCCGAAATTGCAGGTGACTGATCAGAATTTCCAAGGTCCGACAGAACCAGAGAACCCAAATTTACTGAGAAAAAGTGTCACGAGCAGCAACAAAAAAAAAAACTTAACAGCAACACCAAAAATCACTCGTACAAGATTAAGACTAGCTAAATGAGCAGGCAATAATTAGGCTCATGTAACTTGAAAGTGACAACTCAAGATTTGGAAAATCAAATCACGTTGCTGCAAGCATATGCCAAACAAGGAGCAGCTGCCTGCTGTGCACCACGGTCAAAGAAAAGATAGCTGATAACATACTTAACTAACAGTATTTGTTCCTTTACCAAGTGATTATATAGTTAGTTTAGACAAAAGATAGTATAACGGCAAGTGCATGAATAAGTCACTGTTCTTTCATGGTACTGTAAAATTGGATCCTGTGTACCTGTCTTTGATTTTTTTCTGAAAGAACTATTTTGCCTAGATCAGAAAATTTGGTAGTTACTGAGTTTTTCAGTCCCATGTTTAAATGTGATCTTTTTGAGTTTAAACCATTAAGTGAGTGCCTACAATAAAATGGTTGCTTTGTGGTTTTAAGGTTATGATTATAGAAAATTTGGCTACACTGTGAAAATTTGGAATTTTCTTTGGTAGTGCTGTACTAAATGAAATTATCGGGGGAGGTAACAAGATGAAAGACTATATGATGCTTTTACTTCAGTCTTGTGCTTGGGTCTGATGGCTACTCAGAATGATGAAGATCATGTAAGAAAATTATTTAGTGCCATAGGAAAAGTTTTGGACAGCTGTAGAGAAATATTTCCACTTATACCCGTGATGCAAATTAATAGATCATATGTCGCTTTAACTTCATTATTGGCATCAACATTATTTCGAAAACACTTCTTATTGGAGCAACAAATTGAATTAACATAGTTTTTTCACCCGTAGCAACACACGGACATTGACTAGTATAAAATAAAGTCACGCAGATCCTGACTCATGTGCGACTCCAACAGTCTAATGGCTAACCACTATTAGAAAAGTCCGATGGCTAACCACTATTAGAAAAGTGTGATGGCTAACGACTATTAGAAAAAACAAAATAATACTTAGATGGTTAATCACGTTCTTCTTCTTGTACCCAGATAAAAAAATGTCGCAATTGGCATCACATCATCGACATCCACTTTCATGGTTCTGATCTGAATATACATTTCTGTGCTACTATTTTTTCAAGAAACATCTCTCTTTTACAAATTAGCTTGACTGAAGGTAGCAGTACTGATAAGAACTTCTTTCATACAGTTTGGTAAAATGATTCAAACCGCACATAACAATAATTAGTAGTCTCACAAGCTAAAATAAGAACCATGGCCTCATTGTTCTCTTCCTCTTGAAAGAGAGCAGTCCATGGTAAACGAGAGAGACTGCGGCTTCCCAGGAGGCACTGGTGGTGTCCGGTGCTACACCGGTCACCACACCGATGCTCACCGGTGACTAGTGTGCTTAACCGGTGCACACCGGTTACCACGGTGCAAAGACGGCTGCAGAGGCTGCGGTGAGGGTCTGCTAGCTCTACACCGAGCTGCAAACACCGGTCACCACTGGTGCCGTGACTAGTGCACCCAACCAGTGCACACCGGAGTAGGCGGTGCAGCTGGAAACGGCTCAGACCGGACCGGTGGTCACCAGTGCCACGACCGGTGCCCCCGTGATGGGACGACCTGTGCTCCACGAATAACAGCTAGAGATCCAAAAATCAAACGAATTTCGACCAAATCAAAAGGTCTTGCTCTCAAACTTTGCATAGATGATCACAATAGAGTTGGTGAGCTAACTATAGGAGATCATTACCCGAAACAAATTCAAACTCTGGGAATCGCTGATCTTGTGCAAGAACACGGTTTTTCTCAAAAAAAAAAAACAAAATCAGTCCTGATCTATGAGCTCGTGTGGATTTAGATGAGTTCACATGTTGATAATGATCAACACATGTCCTAGCTCACCTCTCAGAACAACCGGAGCCAACTATTTACCGCCGAGTACAACAATGAATTTTTATCCAGCTCTTACATTTTCTTTATCAGCCAGTCCAATACGTACCGGGCACATAGGCCGTTCCGGCCCGACGGTGTAATCTATTTCCACCGTCATGACTTGTGGATCTGGTGCTGAAATAGACCCCAATTATCTCCACCAGATCAAACACCCAGCCAAGGGTGAATACTCTTTTCACCGCCCGTTCAATTGTCCACGAACCGACAGTGAAACACTTACACCGCTGGATGTGTAAAAAATGGATGGGATATGGGTGAGGGGATTCCCATTTCTGTAGTAGTGAATATGAAAATTTTTGGCGTACTAGCTAATGCTGCATTAGCCTACTTTGAACATTGTGCAAGTCTACATTGGAGCCTCTGCTAGCAACCAAACCTGGGCACACAACACTAGACAAGCCTGGATATAGGCTAAAAGCATTCTCCAACCAATTATTTATGTCACATCTCCTAAAAGTCTATATAGGTGATGTCCTATTTCTAGTAGTGTAGTTTTTTCTTCTTCTCTCATCAGATTACCGACACCTTTAAAGTGGATAGAGGAGAGGGGGTGGATCTCCTACATTTTGGGGGGTGGGGGGTGGATAGCCAATACTCACAAATCGACTTCTCCCTTGGCCAATTTGTCCAAGAAGCACATTGTTGTGGTTCTTGTGAAGCAGGAGCCATGCCGCAGCCAACGTCCCTCTCCCCTGAGAGCAAGTGCCTGAGGAGGCTTGCTTGCAGCATCGATGCATGGCAAGGGACTGGAGACTGGTGGTGCTGGTTAAGGGAAGTAGCTGCAGATCTCTCGCGACCATGGCTGCAGTGTAGTGGGTCACTGGTGTCGGAGAGGATGTTGGATCTGAAGGTGGAGATGGCCCTCACTAGCTTCTCTCTCATCTAACCTCCGCCCTCCGGCAAGCAACAACAAGCCTAGTGAGGAGTGGATAGGGATGGAAGAAACGATTTTTATTTCTTATGGGCAACCTAAGGACTACTTTTCATCTGAAGTTTGTATATTGGCTCACAATGTGCCTAGACTACTTTGGTGGTCTTATGGACTGATTTTTTTTTCTAATATTGTGGCTGTCCTTATGACCATGGGCGTTTCACCTTTGGTAACAATTCAATGGACCATATTGGGCATATTTTCCATCAATTATATATATCAGAACTCATGCACCAATCAGTAATTTTTGTGATAATTGAAAACATGGAGAAAAGTTGTTCATTATTACTTGAGAATACAAGCAAAATACAATACAATTTTAAAGTAACATATTTCTATTTCCCAGTAGAACCCAAGAACAACCATACACTACCGGAGACTGTGTAGTTACCGAGTGCCCCGATAATTACCGAGTGTCAAAAGTCGGGGCACTCGGAAACAGTACTTACCGAGTGCCAACACTCGGAAAACATAAACACCCGGTAGTCGACCGCTTTACCGAGTCAGCACACTCGGTAACTTCAGACACTCGGTAAAACTACAAGTTTACCGAAGGGGTGCACTCGGTAAAAACAGCCACTCGGTATTGAGGTGCCACGTCACCTAGGATAGCAACCGTGCGCCCAACGGCGTCACGGCATGACATGTTTACCGAGTGTTATGAGCATACACTCGGCAAACATCACGGTAACAACAGCTCCGCCCATCAAGCGCTGGGAAAATGTTTACCGAGTGTCAGTGCACAACACTTAGATGCACTCTTCACTTTCGTGTCATATAGAGCTACCTTCGACTTATACCTTAGTTTGACCTACCACAGCTTAGACCTTAGAATTTGCTTTGATCCAGATAACTCACATGTGCAATCTCATTCTAGGGACCTTCTACAGCTGGATCGAACAACGATATGCAGGGTGATCAAGACCTGGACTTGACTCCGTTTCTCCGCAGGCCTCCGACCATGTGACAGGCCATCCGACCTTGTTTGATGGGTTTGTATGTTGAACTGTGGACTTGGTTGAACTTTGTGGACTTTGGACATATGTTGATGGTGTTTGTGGACTTTGCATGGTGCTTGTCGACATATGTTGGTTATTGTGAGTGGATGTGACATTTGTGGACATATATGTGATATATATTGCCTATCTGTCATGTTATTATAATTTCCTGTGATTTTGTTGCTTATTGTGACTGGATATGCACTGAAACAAACAAAAAAAAATTCTGTGGACATATTTTACCGAGTGTAGCACTCGGTAAAACAGAGATTCTGTCAGTTTTACCGAGTGTAGCACTCGGTAAAACAGCGAACAGAACCAAATTGGTTCTGATTCTGTGAATTTTGCCGAGTGTGCCATTTTTTACCGAGTGCCGCGTCCCCACTCGGAAATATTTGACTACTTTTTACCGAGTGGGAAGACTCGGTAAACATTATTCCTGAAGTTTATTTGCGGAATTGTTTTAATCACGAAAATGGTTATTCTTTTACCGAGTGTTAGGAGCTACACTCGGTAAACATTATTCAAAAAATTTATTTGCGGAATTGTTTTAATCACGAAATGCTAATTTATTTACCGAGTGCTGCTAGTGACACTCGGTAAACCTCACCGTTAACGGTCAGTTTGGAGGCTGACGACCGTCAAGTCATAATTGTTTACCGAGTGTCATTGTAGCACTCGGTAACTCTATGCTCCGAGTGTGCCGATATTAGACACTCGGTAAAATAACTTCACCGAGTCATTGTTTGCCGAGTCCACTTTACCGAGTGTGGCACTCGGTAAAGAGTTTGCCGAGTGTGTAGCACTATTTGCCGAGTGTTACTCACACTCGGTAAATAAACAGTATCCCGTAGTGATAGGACTATTGTCGTTCTACACTGGAGCAAGAACATAGTACATTCATTTTAGCTATATGACAATACTTATTAAGTTCCATCAAGCATCCTATATAGTTGTTGACTTGATTTTGGGTGGTATCACCATGTCCTTAAAGAAGACTCTGATTATTATTTCAAAAGCACATAATATATGTATCTAATAATTACTTATATGGCTGTACCACCACTTGATAAGCTTCAAGCTTCATTCGGGTATTGGTTCCACGAATAGTAGTTGTATCATTTCTTTGAGTGCTTCTGAAGAAGTCAATGCATCAAGATCCTTGTACATATTATCCGTGGTTCTTGAAAAGTCAAACACTATTCGTGGCACAACCTTTGGTAGTTTTTTCAGTGCAAGGCCTTGCTCTAACATATCCTTCCATGAATCTTCAGCAAGTTCTTTTATCTTTTCACATGCATCATTCATTGTTGTTCCATGCTGCTTCATGTAACAATGGACAGTCGAGGCACTGTGGTCTTTTGTTTGCTCACGCTGCCTCGTAGTAAAGAAAGAATGTCAGGTGTGCTATAACAGAAATTAGATAATCAATGCTCCTAGCGTTGACATTATATTAAAATAGATCTACATCCAGCTTCATTGCAGATGTAAACATTGTCACGAATATTAGGAATAGAATCTACCCAATTCATTAGACAGCGCCCAGTACTGAAAGGAACTCAAATTTACATATTTTGCACGAAGTAATATACTTTCTCGAACAAACCCAATGTTATACTTGATTAAGGATAGAGAAAGACCTTGGTTGATACGACATCATTGGAGAGCCGTACAAATGTACCAAAAGATGTTAGAAATTGAGGATAGCTCAAAAGCCACTTGAAGGTCTCCTTTGTTATTATATCACCCATTCCAACATATGCAGCACATGTTAGAGCGATGGATCCAATGCTTTCTGCTGAAACTTGAAGGTGTTCACTCATTGTGGGCACATAATATTCATCACGCCATTTTATTTCCTTGCAGTACATCTGAACTAAGCGCTCCATCTATATGAAATATGGAAACGTGTGAAAGTTACTTATGATTCTGATATTGTTGCTGTCAGATATAATAGGGTGCTTGAAAAAAAGTAAAGATTGGTTGCTTAAGTTCCACCGTTTGGATATCTTTTTTTGATTTTCTTGTTTATTAGCAATACAGTTACCAAGACACAATTACTAGCAAATCAGGCATTTCATGAATAAGTCAAGACCACATGTATCCAAGTCATGGAATAATCTTATGACCGATTAAGATATTATGCATAAAGAACTCCAGTTGTATTAGTTTTTTTAGTTAATGGAAAAAATCCACTCAAGAAGCATCGGACTAGTTCTTACAAACACACGTCCATGTTTTAACTTATTACAAGCACTCCATTTTATTAATATTTGGCAACTAAATTTATCTACGGCTTTTTCTTCACCTACGATTGCAGTCATAAGTCTGTTTTCTGGCTGCAACTCCTGATGATAAAAAGTAGAGCATTCTTTATCTTTTTTAGACAACAATAGAATAGTCACATCTCAGCCTCAGCGTTCTTTACCTAATGTTCAAATTCGATGTAGAATATCTTTTGTTTTATTTTTATGTCAATGGCATAATTCATTATTATAGAGCATAATATTTAATTTCTAGCTGATTATAATGATTGTGTTCCTTGAGAATGCTCAAGCATATATAAAGGCACTCATAAGAGGGTATATATATGTAGAATACTTGCCGCCTGTTTTAGATAAAGCACACGATAGCTCTTCTCTGGCCCTAACACATCCTCAAATGACAGAAATGTCTCCAACAGGAACAAGTAGAAACCCTTGATGTACTCTGGAAGGAGATGTATTGCGCTTTCATCCCATCTGCATGCAGTAAAATTAGAACTTTGTTTCCTATAGTATTGAAGCTGTCCAAAGAGAAAGTTACATGCATTTCCCATTATCATGTAATTTCAATTAAAATATTATTATTATTGACAAGTGATCTCTAACTTTCCTTGAACAACATTATTATTTGAGGATATCGTCAATTTTGTTCCTTGTATAAGTTTGTTTGATGCTTTCCTTACTTTACATCTTGCATTATAAAATATATATCAATGATTTCTGTAATTCAAATTTGTTCTATACTCTGTACCTTTTGTCCTCTTTTATTTAACTGAAACCATTGTAAAATGATGCAAGGCACATGGCATGCCATGCGTATGTGTGTATATTGGTACCAAAAGGGCTGTAGTCCTGGACACATCATCAAATGTCATCCCGTTACAGACCCACAGAGAAAACTTCAATTTCTTTCAGTTCATTTGTATGTAAATCATTGGCATGGCATCTAATATGTATTAAATCGTTAATACATGTACTATTTTTAAAATAAAAATTATCTGACATGTGGTTTGGAAGATTGTTACCTGCCAAGTGCTTCAGCGAACTTTGTGCACTCTTCAGTGGTACCATATGTGTCAAACATATCATCAATTATTGCAATGAGACCTGTGATCTTTGTTAGTATAATTCGGGAACGAGAGTATGGTGGGTCATAGCATGCTCCATTCATCCAGAAATACATCTCTACTATCCTATCTCTGACAAAAGTCATCTTTGATTTGGCTAGGAACTCCTTCCACCACCTACCACATGCATGTTGAGATAAGCCAATTAAAACTTAGGACTGAATAAATGTACAGCACCATCAATTCGAAGTGAGATGAAAAATCTTACACTGTGCAATGCTTTAACTCTTCACAAAAAACAAGTTGTTGAAGGTTAAAATTCAATTTTGCAAACTCCAATATGTCTTCATTCCGTGTAGCCTCTTTTTCATAAATGGGTATGTAATTTCTCGCTTCTAATATTCCAACTCTTCTAAAAAGAGGCGTATGAAGGGAAGAAGACACCTCCTTTGCAAATGATGATTCTGGAAGTACAAGGATACCTTGAAGGCAACGTCTAGTGAAAGAAATTGCTTCATCTAGTACATTCTCTCCATGCCTCCTCAAATATGCTGCATTGTATAAGCTTAACAAGCTTCTCATGTCAGCATAAGCAAAGCTACCTTCTTCTGTTTTGAAGTTCAGAAATACATCTGCAAAATTAGCTCATGAATAATAGTCACGTCCTATTTCAATTAAAACATTTGATCTGATATTTGGTCTTGATTGGAAGATCTTATACCTGAGGACACATCATAACCATTCTTGCGAAGAAGATAAAACCGCAGTGAAACTAAGTTAAGATCTTTGTCATTGTAATCGGAGATGTAAATATGGTGCAATAACTTGTCTATCTCATTCTCGTAGTGGTAATCCAGTCCAAGTCTTTGCAGTGTTAATATAAGATTCAATGTTTCTGGTAAGTCAGTTGAGTCCTTCAAAACCTTCCTAACATCTTCTCTTAATACCTCTGCTCGCTCTTTCATGTATGCTTGCTGTGGAGGACAAGTATGGTCAATTTCATCACATATATTCCCTGATCAAAGCCTATTTCAGCCCTGATCATCTCGACATGCAATTGTTACCTGAGGTGCAGTTGGCGGCTGGTATGTGAGGAAGAAATCACCCCACAGGCTTGGGTGGAAGGTAGTAGCCTTTCGCAGCTCCTCTGCCTTGCTGGAATGATGTGCTGGAGGAGACGCCATGTTCTCAATTCCAGTCTAGTTAATATTTTCTTGCTGATATTTCTGATGGATTTGCTGATGCCTATAGGTGTTGCATTGCAGAAGTATTTATAGGGGATGCAGGCATGCCGCCAAGCAGCAGTCTGTTCGGGAGACCGTATTGGATCGTGGATTATTTACTGCTGGCTGATTTGGTGTGAGAGAAAAACACTGTTTCTGGCTGGAAATTTACGATCGTTTACGACCAAGCGAACAGGTTGCAGTACTGCACCAGCCAGGCACCTTTGTGACAATGACAGCGGTCTCTTCATACACACGGCTTTTTTTTTTCTTTTCTGACGTACTGTGTGTTACGTTTGAAATGTTGCCATGACAGCTAACAGCTTGTTTCTTTTTTAATTAAACGGTTTATGTTTTGAGAGAATAAATATGTTCCAAGTGCTTATTATATCTTCTAACTTCTATATCTTAATAAGAGATCTGAACTACGATTTTTTTTGGCATCTCATATAGCTACATCATCAACACATCCATCATGCAGATGTTACTCCCTTTGTCTTATAATACTCCATCCATTCCAAATTATAAGTTATTCCAACATTCATGAAGTGTCATTCCAATTAGCGGCTTATATAGCATTTGTTTTTCTTCTAGTCGATCCTGTCCATCTGTCTCGGTCAACGTCCATGGTTCTCTCATGCTTTAGGGTTCTTAGTTTTTTTTTGAGCAACTTTAGGGTTCTTAGTTAGGCTGCGCTATCGTAATTGGGCTATATCCAGTGATTGTGCAGTTTTATAGAATTAAGTTTTACTTTGGCACATATTTTCGCCAACACCATTTTCTTTGCCCATTTTTTGAAACCGTTGCTGATGATTTTCACCGACAGCTACAAACCGTCGGTGAAAATGATTTCCACTGTTGGTTTGTATTACGAACCATTGATGAAAAATGGCCCGATTTTCACCACCGGAAAATCATCACCATCAGTTTAAAAAATGGAGGTGAAAGTGATGTTGGTGAAAATGATTTATGTAGTAGTGATCAAACTCCTCCAATGCCATGGAGATAATCAACACATACGTGTATAGCTTTTAATTTATTTTATTTACTGAATAATTACTTTCAGGGTCCTCCAACCGGCAGTAAAAGTCATCATCAAATATAAATGGTGTAAAAAACCCATTGGTGAAAGTGGTGTTGGTGAAAATGATCTGTGTAGTAGTGATCGAACTCCTCAATGCCATGGAAATAATCAATACGTACCTGTATAGTTTTAGTTTGTTGTATTTACTAGATATATAGCTTTTACTTTGTTTTATTTACTTGGTAATTACGTTCTCACGTTTGTCTTGGCGCATCCATTGGTGGACATTGTTCCTGTTATTGCCCTCTATATATGACAGGCTAGCTATTCACTGTACGTGGGTCATTGATGGCGCCACCTCGTTTAGGCACGCTTAACACAAGCTGATCACCATTCAATGACAAAGAACACATACAGTGCCTGCTAGCTAGCTACCCAACAAACTGAAAGTCATTAACATAAACGACATCAACAGATAGTGAGCCTGGCCGCCAACATCTTGTGCTCCCCTAACCCTAATTAAGCGTCACATAATCCACTGCCTTTTGCTCTCATCACCAGTAGGCTTTTCTCATACTCTGTATATATTTGTCCACATTTGTGTAGTGTCAATACCCACATGATGCTGATATGGATGCATACATCTCCCACACCATAGATGCGTTATCCTATTGAGTTTTCCTTTTGCTCGGCACATGGACCATCACGTTGAGCACAAGGAAAAAGTCCATCACACCAATAATTCATCTGCTCCATGATTGAGCCGCCCACACATCACTCGTGCATGATTCATGAATCCAGAGACGGCCATGCTTGCACCACCGTACCTGCGTGGCCCACCATGGCCCACTTGTTGCAGAACCTTTGCCACCAGCCCACGTCGCCCCCCTTTACTCCCTTCCAAAACTAAGTGTCGTTCTCACTATTTTTTCGAGAAGTCAAATATTTTTAACTCAAGTCATCAATCTGTACAATACTTCACATAAGTGTGGTATATAGGGCTATCAAAAGCATCTTCTACACTATGACAAGTATATCCTAAACCTGCTACCTTAAGTACGTGCATCTACATATTCACATACTTTGTGATGCCAATTTTACGTCAAACCAATTTTTCATACACGATCCCACAATAAGGGTTAGTTTGAATGTGGTCCACGCCCTTCATCGTAGTGCACTATGAAACAAGATGTTCCAAGCGAATTCATCTGCTTAAAATCATGAGACCACAAAATAAAATGTAGGTGTTGAAATGGATGGCTAAAATCTGAATTATGTAAATATGTATCGGCTTAAACTTATAATATTCCATATTCCTTTATAATATAGATCCTAGGTGGAGCATGTCAATATGTTTCCATTATTTCTTTCCATCTGATGCTAGATCTGTATTTGGAAAAAATAGACAGATACATAGAACTATCCGTACCCATGAATAATTAATATAATATTAGGTCAAACTGCCTAAAAGTTATTTCCTATCATTAATGACTACTTTGATTGTTTTAATATCACTAATACGTACCAATATAGTTGAAACTATTTAAAAGTAATGAATAATAATGCTAATTTTAATATATTTATGATGTATAAAAAATTAATTGATTTTTATATAAGTAATACTAGTAATTTGATATGGCTAATTATATTAATTTCAATCCATAGAATGAATGATTTATAATATTGTTTTTAAATAGTTGGCATTCAACTTCTAAAGTAAAACTATTTCAAATTTATGAATATGAGTACTTAATAGCACATGTTTTTATCTTAAATACGGATGATGCACTCATAATTAAAATGACTATGGTTTATAATTTGTATTCTTAATATGACTAACAATGTATTTTATAAATATCGCTCCATGTATAGAGTTTAGTAAACTTATATTTTGATGATCTCATTATATGATTTTTTCTAAAATTATTTGTAATATGTATTGATCCCTACATACAAAAACTTAAGGGTAGTGCTAGGAAGTAGGCATCCGTCCGCCTAGATGCTGCTCGCCCCACTCCGCTCCGTGCGATTCAGTGCTTCACGGCTTCTCAAAACAAAAACAAAAAATAGCTCCACTCGCCTTAACCATCGCAGGGGCTGCCCGCCGCAGCCTTCTCCAGCGCGGCGGCGCCGCACCCGGCCTCTTCCCGCGCTGCTCCACGCGCCCACGCCGCGCCACCATCCAGCACCGCGCCCCCATCCACCTCGCCCGTCACGGAAGGGGAGGCAGGGGAGGCCAGCGCCTGCGCCACCATCCACCTCGAGCCGTCGGCAAGATGGGGAGGCCTGCGCCACCATAGTTCCCCACCAGGTAGGCAATGGCAGTGTTTTCAGGCGTTTTCAGACATGTTGCAAGTCTATGTTTCAAGTGTTTCAGTTGTTCCAAATGTATATTTCAAGTGTTTTATACGGATGTTACAAAAGGAGATGGGGATGTTGCATATGTTGGAATGGTTGTACACATATGTTGAAAGCGTCTTGTCGGTGCGAAATATGGCCGACAAGTAAATATTTGTAGTTTTGTCGTGCGCTGTGATCGGATGTGGCCAAGTATGCGATGACACAGGATTTATACTGGTTCAGGCAACGTGCCCTACATCCAGTTTTAGTTGGTCAGTGACTTTATTCCTAAGCCTAGGTGCTCGAAGTTTGTTGTGGGGTTACAAACGAGTAAGAAATGAGAAAAGAGGTGTTAGAGGCCCAGTCGGACTCTGAACCGAGTGGAAGAGAGATGATGGATGCTCAAACCTACGTTAAGTATTGGAGCGTATGCTCTGCGTGTCCTGAGCTTATCAGCTATTGAGAGCATGTAGACTGTGTAGCTGTCAAGCTCTCTAGCTATTTTTTGTAGGAGAGAGTGCATCCCCTTTTATAGATGAAGGGGATGGCCTTACAAATCAAAGATAGAAATGGAGAGAGTATTTACGGGTGCTACCTAGTCTTGTTGCCCACGCCGTCGAGTACGGCATGCCATCGCCCACCTTACTGTTCATGACCTGCTAGATCTGATAGGCGGCATAGTGTTCGCCCACCTTACTATTCATGACCTGGCAGGCTGCACGGTGTTCGCCAGGGATGGCAAATGACGGCCCCCACAATACTGTTTGTGCTCTGACACGTCTGGAAGGTTGTATAGTGTTCGTCTGACATGGCCTGGCGACACCGTCCTGTAGGTGCTCAGGGCATGGCAGGGTACGGTCCTCGGTGTCGTGGTTGACTTGAGCGCCTTACCTTATCTGCTCCGCCTGCTCCCCGGGGCCCACACTGAGCAGGCGTCCTGGCCGGTCATTCCTAGTAGGCCCTGACTGTGTCGGTCGGGAAAGAGAGGCGAGCAAAGGTTCGGCATATCCTCGGTCAGAGGAATAGGGTTAGAGTCGGACTGCGCTCCCACCGTGGCTAGGCTTTCCGGTTGGGGCTCCGACCAGGTCTCTTGGCTAGAGGTGCCGGTCGGGGACCGGATCGTGGTCTCGGCCTATCATTGTGTATCTAGGCTGGCCTAGACGCGCGCTGTCGCTGCGCTGCATGTTGGGCCAAGTATTACAGGAAAGTGGGTCCATTGGGGACCCTGGGTTTATGAACCCGACAGGAGCCCCCAAGCCCCTTTAGGGCTTCTGTGAAGCCATGAAGGGGCTGTTGAGTTGCCGCTTTTGAGGGCACACGAGAGTATGATGCTAGAAGATCTCTCGTAAGGAAAGAGCATCGTACGTCTCGAATGGGCCCCTGTCCTGGATTCTGGATCAGAGGACGGCGAGAGGGAGGAGAGCATTGTTGCGGGAGAACAAGGATCTTTGGCTCTCTTGTTCCGCTTCATGCCCCAAGGTGTGGAGCAGTCCCGGGGCTGTTCACACACGCTTTGCATGTTATTGTAAAAGTCTAGGGCTTGTGTTTTTAGCTTAATGAAAGCTTGTATTTGCTTGGTAATTCCTGTGCCCATTGC